GGGGGGGGGGGGGGGGGGCACTTGTGGGTGCGTGGGACGGGGAACACCGTGTGGTGGAATGTGCATATGCGGCGTCTAAGGGGGTCCCAGGCGTGATGCCGGGCGGCGGTGAAGCTACAGCGCTGCCTCCCATGCGTATGCCGCCGCCCGCGGCCCGCGGGGCGGCGACCGTCCGCGGCGACGAGGGGTGATGAGTTGGGCCCCAGACGGCCGGCTCGGCGGCACCAGGGTGGCACGCAGGTGACGGGTGACACAGCGCCGGTCGATTGTGAACTTATCATCAAGTCTTGTACTTGTGAAACAGCACCCCGTAAGCGGGCTCCTGCATTTGAGCGGGACTTGATCACATCGATCTCGGCACAGAATCTTTGACAAATTCCAACCGGACAACGGACTATAAAATACAAAGGACCGGTGCATGTTCATGAGGGGCAGTGCTTGCCGGACCCTTCGTTAGGCCCCCGTAACGACGTACCGTGGGCTGATCATTTACAGGGCGAGCTACGAGTGAGCTGCATAACATGAGCCATTTTTTACCACACCAGAGGCCAGAATCAGGCATACCTGCGCGGCACACGATCGCTGCCGCTGCTCACGCCCTGCACACGCGTCTTCGCAGGGCCGCTCTGCTCGTGCTGCGCGCCCGTCCTGCCCGCCCAACCACAAACCGGCCGTGTCGAGCGCGCCGCCGCTCTATCAACCCGCAACACCCGCACAGCGCGCATACGCGTGCGGGCGGCACCCGGCACCCGCGCGGCGACGCGAGGCGCGCCCGGCTAGATGGCCGCCCCGCGGCCGCACCGGCGCGGCCTCGTCGCGGCCACGCGCGGCACGTCGCTGGTCGCGTTCCTCGTGTTGGTCGCGCTGATGCTGCGTTCCTGGAGCCACCAGAACCGCCTGGCGACGCACCGCGACGCAGCCATTGCAGCGACGGCCGCCGCGGGCGGCGGCGGCGGCAGCGGCAGCGGCGCCGGGGCCGTCGCGGCGGAGCGGCTCAGCATGCGCCAGGGGCACAACAGCCACCTGCCCATATCTGCGGCCGGCGGTGGCGGAAGCGAGGGCGGCAGAGGGGGCGAGGCTGGGGGAGAGCAGGAGGAGGGCGGGGCAAGCGCGGCAGCTGAGGAAAAAGGGACGTTATCCGTATCGCTGGACGAGGGGGGTCCCGGAAACAAGACGGCAGCAGACGAGGCGGGCAGCGGCAGCAGCGGCGACGCGCCGGCCGCAACGCCAGCGCCGGTGCCGGCGGCCAGCAGCAGCAGCAGCAGCAGCAGCGGCCGGCTGCCGCGCCACAGCGTGCGGCCGGCGGCGGCCAAGGCGGGCGCCAACGCGACGGCGCCGGCGGCGCCTCTGAAGTTTTTCGGGGTAGGGGGCGCATACCATCATGTCCCGGTCTGCCCGCCCGGCCACCCCATGCCCGGCGCCGGCTGCGACGCGGGCCCCTGCCCTGTACCCTGGGAGTGGCACGGCAACCGCGCCACGGCCGACGCAGGTGGGACCCCGATACCGCGGCGGCGCCCGGCCCCTGCTTTCGCGCCTCATCTTCTTGAAACGGAAAGTCAACGGGTGCGCACCTCCCAACCCCTACTCCCAGCCCACGAATTCTCATCAAGTTCTGAGCTGCGTACACCCCTGCATCCACATCATTCTCATGACGTCATTCCCCCCCTTTGATGACATCATGCTCAGTCATCTTCAACACCCTCGACGGCATGAGCGGCTTCGGCCCCAACGTGCCGCGCTCCAAGCCCGGCCAGGCGCTGGTGCTGCTTGCTATGGAATCCGGAAAGTACTACCCCTCGATGTACAAAGCAAAGGAGTATGGCTTCAACGCGACATGCGGTGGGTGGCTTGGTTTGACTGCGTGGGCTCGGGGTTTGACCGAGAGTGGGCATTCACGGACGTGTTGGTGTTGGGGTGGGCGCGTGTGCGAGTTTGCATGCGTGTGCGTGTTGGCGTGCCTGCGTGCGAGTGCACTTACATGCTTGTCTTGGGTCGTGCAGTCTGGCGATGTGGTGGGCCGGGTCCCAGCCGCGTAAGATGGATCAACTGCGCTGCGCGGCGCGACGCGGTGCGGTGCGGCGCGCGGCGCGCTTGTGGGTTGTAAATGGAGGGGGAGCTGGTTCTGGTGGCAACGTGGAACACCTGAACTCGAGAGGCGGGCTGTCAGCCCGACTGGGTGGACATACATACACACGCACACACACACATCAACACTCACATTGACACACACCCAGATCTGCGCGTGCACGCACACACCAACACACACACACACACACACACACACACACACACACACACACACACACCTTTTCGCACACCCATACTCCCACCCCCCCCACACGCACATGCACATGCACATACGGCTTCCTTCCACCCCCCCCCCCC